CTACCTGGGATCTGAACCTGGGGCCTTCCATAATGTGTCCATTATCATCCAGTGACACCCTACTGCCTACACTATGCAGCAAACCTAAAACCAATTTTTTTTTTTTTTGGAGAGATCTTTTTTCCCCCCATTGGGCACATCTGCTCACCGTGTGCTCTTGAGACAGAGACAGAGAGACAGAAGGCAGATCGCCTCCCAGGGAGGATGACTGCATTGCAGTCCCTTCTCCTCCAGCCTCCTCTTGGGATTTTGGGCATGTACACACACGTGCCCGGAATGTTTCAAGTGGCGGGGCCTGGAGCTCGAATCACTGTCAGCCATGTGCGTCTAAAGCCTTAACCACTACGCCACCTGTGGTCTGTGGTTTTTTGCATGTCAAATGAAAAAAGCATAATTTTTATTAGTAGCATTAAGAAGGCTACTGCTTTCCACTTTAATGTTGCTTGGTGTTATTGATATTTAAAATTTTTTTTTGGATGTCTTTACTTCAACATGTCTCGTATGACAATAGTGAATAAAACTCTTTTGAGAGATGATACATTTTCTTTCCATCAAAGGTCATTGCATGTAGTCATTAGTAACTGTTAAAATGAATTAATTACAGAAAATGATTTTTTTTTTCTTTAGAGAGGGTTTTTTGCCATACGGTGTATGTGTTCACTATGGAGACAGAAAGCGAGAAATCACCTCCCAAGGGGGTTGACCACGCTTCAGTCTCTTCTATTCTCTAGGGATTTGGGGCATGCACACACATGAGCTGGCGTGAGTATTAAGCCACTGGGTCCGGTACTTGAACCACAGTTAGCTATGTGGGAGTCCAGCAACATGACTATTATGCCATCTGCTGGTCCCCAGAAAATGATTTTTGTGTAACTAAACTATATTTTTCGACAGTTTATTTATTTATTTATTGACAAGCAGGTGGAGCAGTGGTTATGGTGCTGGACACTCCCACATGACCGACCACGGTTCCAGTCTTGGACCTGGTGACTTGCTTTCTTGCTTTCTCTCTCTCTCTGTCTGTGTGTGTGTGTGTATGTGTGTGTGTGTGTGTATGTGTGTATGTGTGTTGTGTGTGTGCGTATGTTTCTCTCTCTGGTCAAATTAAAATAAATGAATAAATAAAATTATAAAAAATAAAATGTATTAGGGACCTATAATATACTTAAGACCAAATTGGTCATTTGTTTTTTCTTTTTCTCTCTCTTTTTGTCTCTCTCTCTTTCTGTTTCTCTTTTTCTTTCTTTTCTTCCTTACTAAAGAGGGACAGTGAGAGACAGAGAAAATGAGAAAGTAAGCCGCCAGATCTAGGACTCCAACTGCAGTTGGCCATGTGGGAAACCAGTAACCTTAACCACCACTCCACCTGCTGGTCCCCCCAAATTGTTATCTTAATAAGTATTATAAATCACTGTGATTTTAAATAAAGAAGCTGCTATGTATAAAATGTGATGTCATAATATTCTCTAATAATGTATTATTATTATATCTTTGTTCAATTCTCCTGTCCCTTCTGTTATTTCAAACAGTAGTAGTGTATTATAATCAACTACAGTTTCTGCATGATAAATTTTATAATTTTTTTAAAGATTTATTTGTATTAGTTTTTAATTTGACCAGAGAGAGACAGAGAAAGGGAATGTGAAAGCAAACCACCTGGTCTGGGATTTGAACTATTGTTGACCATGTGAAAGTCCAGTGCCCCAACCATTACGCCATCTGTGTAATTTTTAAGATTACAATTTTTAAGATTATGATTCCAGAGGTGAAGATATAGTTACAAAAATGACAAGCAGCGAGGTGGTATGGTGATGAAAGCACTGTACTCCCACATGATTGACTGTAGTTTGCCACCCGGACCTGGCGGCTTTCTTTCTCACTTCCCCACCCTTCTCTTTCTGGTGAGCGCATGTGCCCTGTAGCAAATTAAAAGTATTAATAAATAATTCTTTTTTAAAAAAAATAACAAGCAGAAATTACTTTGTAGGATTGAGTAGAAAAAGCAACCCTTTATGAAGCTATTGTGAACTAAACCTTAAGATAGTTTAAGCTCAGACCCACTGGAGCAGTGGAAGTTAAAGTGGCTGTATCCTGCATGGCTGCCTGCATGGTTTGAGTTCCATACGCAGCAGCTTGGAAACCACAGTAAGCGCACGTGTATGGGTGCTCAAAATCCCAAAAAGAAATAGAGAAGAGACTGTGGTGGGACCTTTCCCCATGAGGATACTTTCTCTTGTACCCTCCTTCCCTGTCTCCCTGTCTTTCTCTGGCAAGTGCATGTGCTCTTTAGCAACTTTTTTTTAGAGAGATTTTTGCTATAGGGTTCATGAGCTTACTGGAGAGATAAAAGAGACAGGGAGACAGAAAGCAAGAAATCATCCCTCAGGAGAGTTGGCCACACCCAATCCCTTCTCCTCTATTCTCTTCTTGGAATCTTGGGCATGCATGCATGTGTGCCTGGCGTGAGATTGAAGCCTCTAGGTCTGGGACTCAACTGTGGTCAGCCATGTGAGAGTCCAATGATGGACCATGATGCCATCTGCTGGTCCCCAGCAATTTTTAATTTTTTTAGATAGTTCAAGCTCTTAATAATAAGTGGAGTGTAATGTTTTAAATGAAATGAGCAGGGAGAAATTTCCCTGTAAAAACTTTTTTTTTTTTGGGAGAGATTTTCGCTATAGGGCACGTGCACTTGCCAGACAGAGAGAGACATAGAGACAGAAAGCGAGAAATCACCCCCCCCAGGGAGGATGGTCACACCGCAGTCCCTTCTCCTCCATTCTCCTCTCAGGATCTTTGGCATGCACTCACATGCGCCTGGCGTGAGTTCTAAGCCACCGGGCCTGGGAGGCGAACCGCGGTCGACTATGTGGGAGTCCAGCGACATAGCCATTATGCTAACTGCTGGTTCCCCCTGTAAAAACTTTTAAAGGAAGGAGTAATTCTAAGAAATTTACCTCAGGGAAAAAAGGAACAAAATTATGAGTTTTATGCACATGTAAGTGTTGATTTGTTTTAGTTTAAACAAGCATAATTGTAGGTTTTTAAAAAACACTTTAAATGAATTTAAAGATGTAACTTAAGAACAAATGTAATTTATTACATTGCCAGTAATGAAAAAAAAATCTGTATAAACAGAAAAAAGTATAACAATTCAGTACCTATTTATAATTTTGGAAAAACCCCAGCAATTAAAAAGGATCATTTCTTAATCTGATAATATCTACAATAATATTTTTTGCAGAATTCATTCGATACTAAATATTGAAAACTTTTCCCTTAAAGTTGGGAATGAGACTAGGTTATGCTAATCACTGTATGTAGACTTACAGGAATTATTTTTTTTCTTTTGCCCTGCCTACTAGGAAACTCAGCTAAGCTTTCTTCTCTATTTGTATGTTTCTTACATTTATGGAGATTATTATTTTCTCCTCTATTTTTTTGACTTGCATTTGCCTGTTACTTTTATTTATTTATTTTTTTGGAGAAGTTTTCTGGGTGCATGCGCTTGCCAGAAAGAGAGAGAGACAGACAGAAAGCAAGAAATCATCCCCCGGGGGGTGATTTGCGGCCATGCCGCAATCCCTTCTCCTCCATTCTCCTTTCAGGAGCTTGGGCACGGATGCACATGTGCCTAGTATGAGTTTAAGCCGGGACTCAAACTACAGTTGACTACATGGGAGTTCAGTGACATAGCCATTACACTAACTGCTGGTCCCCCTGTTACTGTTTTTTTTTTTAATAAATTCCTTCAATTCTCTTTTGAAGTAGGCTGGGATAAAGGAAGTCAGTTAATTTTAATTTAGTCAACTGTTTATGATTTGGGGAAAATTATTTGCTGACATTATGCTTTGATTTCTTCATTTGTTGGTATGGATAATGGTTATTCTTTCTCAGGTTCTTTTATCTTTAGTAAATTCATGAAATAGCAATAAAAATGCTTTGGACAAGCTAAGAGTATTATACTAATTGATAATACAATTCAGGTCATGTTCATAGAACTAGATTTTTTTCTGGTTTCAGATTTTTAAAATTTACACATCAGGGACCAGCAGTTGGCGTAATGGCTATGTCACTGGACTCCCATGTAATTGACCGTGGTTCAAGTCCCAGACTCGGTGTCTTAAACTCACACCAGGCACATGTGCGTGCCTGCCCAAGATCCTGAGAGGAGAATGGAGGAGAAGGGATTGAAGCATGGCCATTCTCCCCCCGGGGGCGGGGAGGAGAGGGGTGATTTCTTGCTTTCTTTTTCTCTGTCTTCTGGTGAGCAGATGCACCCTATAAACCGTCCAATAAAAAAATAATAATAATAAATAAATAAGTTACACATGTATTCTATATGGCATTTTTAAGATCTCTTCTAGCATAATGTTTGTTTTCTTTCTTCCTTGCTTCTTCCCTTCCTTCCTCCCTTCCTTTCCTTTTTGTTTTCATAGCATCCTTTCAAAGAATGGCTTGTTCCTGTTATGACTCCTTTTTTTGGACATCAACTTAAGTTATTTGCCTTATTTCAGTTATTTAGTACATTGTTCTACAAGAACCTTTTCTCTGCACTCAGAGCTTGAATTTCATTCTTATTTATTTTGGAGAGTGTTTTTTTTTTTAGCTTTTATTTTATTTTTGCTGTGGGGTGTGTGTGCTTGCTGGAGAGACAGAGAAAGTGAGAAATCACCAACCAGGGGGTGCGGCCATGCCACAATCTCCTCTCCTCCATTCTCCTCTCGGGATGTTGGGCATGTGCTCACACATGCCCAGTGTGAGTTCAAGTTGCTGAGTCCGGAATTCGAACGATAGTTGGCCATGTTGGAGTTCAACGCCTTAACCACTTTGCCACCTGCTGGCCCTGAATTTTATTTTTATTGACTTGTCTTGACCCCTTTAAATCTGTTTCAGTTATGTGTAGTATTCACCTGTAATACTAAAAGTAAGAAATTAATGAGAAACCTGAATTATTCCGTTTATTCCCGTGGTTTACAACTATACATTATCTTTTGCAGAATATGTGAGATCCAAGCTGTTGACTGTACTACAATATCCTCATTTACTGTGAGAGAGTGTGAGGGATCCAGCAGGATGGGCTCAAGACCAAGGCGCTACTTGTTTACAGGCCACACGAATGGCAGCATTCAAATGTGGGATCTCACCACTGCGATGGACATGGTCAACAAAAGTGAAGAGAAGGGTAGGTCCCACGTGGAAAGGTGTGTATGGCATGGTAAGCTTTTCAGGTGAGTGATTGTAACGAGTGTGTGTTTTCCTCAGATGTAGGAGGTCCAACTGAAGAAGAGCTACTCAAATTACTGGATCAGTGTGATCTGAGCACATCTCGCTGTGCTACTCCCAACATTAGTCCTGCAACTTCTGTGGTTCAGCATAGCCGCCTTCGGGAATCAAGTTCTAGGTAGGTTAAAGAGTTGGATATTATATCGTAAGTTAATGTACTCACTTTGGGGAAAATTGAGAGATTATAATCACGTAGTTGTTTTAGAAAGCCATATTTTCAAAGTGCGTTTTTAATTCAGACTTCATATGGATATTCAGACTTTAAGAAAATTTTACTAGGGCCAGCAGATGGTGTAATGATTAAGGCATTGAATTCCCACATGGTCGGCCGTGATTTGAATCCCAGACCCAGCAACTTGAAACTCATGCCAGGCATGTGTGTATGAGTTCCCAAAATCCCAAGAGGAGGATGGAGGAGAGGAGATTGCAGCATAACCATCCCCCCTGGGGGAAGTGATTTCTCACTTTCTCTCTTTTGGTCTCTATCTCTCCAGTGAGCACACACATACCCTATAGCAAAGGAAAAGGAAAAAAGAAAATTTTGCTAAGTTTCTCATCTGCATACATGTGGTCCTTTTCAGAGAAAAACATTTTTTTGCCTTTTGTTTTATTTTGTGAATTGCCTCCAATTTGGATACCTATTAAAGAAGCAAGAATCCAAGGAAAGTTAGGAATACCATGTTAACTTGGCTGTTATCATGTGGTGCTTTTGTTTTTGCTGCCTTAGGGACAGTATTAGTTGAAGTGATTACATTATCATGTATACTCTTACATTTAGGCCCTCTGTACTTCAAATACAATGATCTGTGTTGTTTTAGTTATATTGGCAAAGACTGTCCCAAAATTTGAAGAAAAAAGGTCTAAATAACTGAATTATGTTTGTTCTGTATTGACTTACAAGTTTTTTGTTTTTTTTTTTTGTTTTTCCTTCTGGGCCAGCTCAGTGGCATAGCCGTCTTGCTTAGGTGATACGATATGCATATATTTGATCATGGGTCTGGTTACCTGGTTGACCACATGGGGCACTTGCACACATGATCCTCACTGCTGGGAAGGCTAGTGAGTAGAGACCCTAATGAGGGTACTTCTCTCTCTCTCTCTCAATAAACACATTTAAAAATAAAAGCTTTTTTTCCACTTTTTTTTTAACTATTCAGAAATCCAGCTTGACTAAGTATATGTATGATATCATGTACATGGTAATTTTGTGTATATATGTGTGGGTGTGTACGTTTTTGATATATATATATAGTACTCACCAGAGAGAGACAGAACAGAGCGAGAGGTAGAAAGCATCACCCCAGCAGGGCACGGTCATTCCACAGTTCCTTCTCCATCTCTCTGTCTTGTCAGGATTTCAGGCATACATGCCAAGCATGTTTTTCATGTTACCGGGGCTGGGATTCAAAGTGGTCAGGCATGTAGGATCTGGTTCCCTTAATCACTAGGCCACAGGGCCAGCCCTAAACATATTTTTATACAGAGGAATATACTTTATATATATTGCGTATTCTTTATATATAGTGTTTTTATTAGTAGTTTAACTGATGAGATATGTTCCTGAAAAATCCTAGAGTAACATCTGAATTGTATTTTTTTAAAACTGTTTCAGCCTTCAGCTTCAGCACCATGAAACCATCCACGAAGCAGCTACTTACGGTTCCATGCGGCCTTACAGAGAGAGTCCTTTGTTAGCAAGAGCAAGAAGGACTGAGAGCTTCCACAGTTATAGGGACTTCCAGACTATCAATTTGAACAGAAATGTAGAAAGAGCTGTTCCTGAAAACGGTAACTTGGGCCCAATACAAGCTGAAATGAAGGGGGCAACAGGGGAAAGTAATGTATCTGAGAGAAAGTCTCCTGGGACAGAAGTAAAATGTCTGAAAGAAGTGGACAGTGGATCGGAAGTGCATAAGATAGCTGAAGGTTTTTCAGATCCCAAGAAGAGGTCATCAGAAGATGAAAACGAAAATAAAGTAGAGTTAAGGAAGAAAGGAGGATTTGAAGGGGGAGGATTCCTTGGAAGAAAGAAAGTCCCCTACCTGGCATCATCACCAAGCACTTCTGATGGAGGAACCGACTCCCCTGGCACTGCCTCGCCATCCCCTACGAAGACTACCCCATCTCCTCGGCATAAAAAAAGTGACTCTTCAGGTCAAGAGTACAGCTTGTGAAAACTCACCAGAATGAGTGGTTTTGTTACAGTTAGATGAAAATTAAACTTTCCCGGGTTTTAATACATTCATTTTTACACTAAAACTTTACAGGATAAAATTAGACTTAATTTAGTATCTTTTTAGCAGAATTACCTGGAATAAGGAGATACAATAACCATCTCTCTTTTGACATTTGGAAATTCGTTTTGGTTTTACAGGTGCATTTAACAGATCATTTGTAAAGCAGGAGTCCATTTCAGTGTCTAGCTATTTTGTGTTGATTTTGGAAAAACAGTACTGTCTCAGGATGGTCCCATGTAGATACAAGCATCCCTTAGAGCACAGGAACCGGCAGACTGCACTCCTCCTCTTGATGCCTGAGACTGGTCTTGAAATGCAGTCTTAAGTGAATCACATAATCCTCTTTGGAACATGGTCTCCCGACCCTTGTTGTGATTGCTGAGTGTTTACCAGATATTTGATGAGGTGCTATGTTTGTGAAAAAAATATGTAATTCAGAAACACTATTGATGTTGAATACCAGATTCTACTGTGTTGTAAGTCCTGTAAGACAATTTTAATTGTGGGCCATGTTCTGATTCTGTTGGGAATTCTTAAATCTTAGCAAGCATTACCAATATTAAATGCCAAAAGTCTGTTTAAGCTTTCTTTCAAGTTGGAGTAATTGTCTGAGTTGAAAAGATAAAACAAATATAGAGTGCTCAGAAACGAAAACTGTACCAATTGCTAATCTGCCTTGTTTAAGGAGCCACTGTTTTTTTTTTTTTCCAAGATAATTAAATGTGGCCATTTTGTTATACAGAAGGAACTTTAGTTCTGAAATTTTGGCTAAAGATTTTGGCTGCTATAAAAATGTTATTTTAAAAATATATTGAATAATGAGAAAAAAGAATTTTGTAATTTTTTTCCATTTAATCAAAATGATTTTCAAGTTTCTGCAAATAGGGTAGCTGTAAATTTAAAGCAGTGAGCATTTATTGGTGAATAATGTATATATTCCCATTCTCATAAAAGTGAGTGAAGTTGAAATAAATTCTTGAAAATTTACTGTATTGCCAGTGGTGTCACAGCAGTTATCTTCTATTTCTTTAAGGGACTGGACAGTGCTCTTCCAAGTGTACCTACCTGTGTTCATGTCTTCACTTCTTTTCATAATAAAACGGGGGAGGGAAAACAATATATGTGAAGACTGATTTTATCAGTGAAGAAAAATGTTAGGTGAAGCATGATTTCAAAACTACTAAGGATTGAAGTGATCTCTTATACCCTTCTATGTTATTATCAAAGTTATAGGAAAGTTTAAAGGAAAAAAAATGAAATATTTACAAAGAATAGACCATTAAAAAAAGACAATAATTAACATATAGTAAGATCCCATGAGAAGGCAACTGACTTCCATGGATTGCATTGTACAAGTCAAATCTTTTTTTTACATCTTTCACTGAGTTTGAGCCTTGCTGTCAGAGTAAGGTTTGAGTTTACTCCAGCATTTAACTTTGTAACTGTGAGCAGATTATCCCCATCCAGCCTAAATTTTTCATTATAGCTACCTCATTAGGGTAATGGTGGAAGAAGTAAAATTCAAATGAACCTATATACTTGGTGTGACTGATGAAAAATGGAAATAGAATTGTAATCCTCCTTTTTCAAGTAATTTTGTATTTATTTCAAAATATATTAATAAGGATTATTATTCTCATTTCACAGATGAGTTTTTTTGCAGAGGCTTTTGCTATAGGGCGTGTGCGCTCGCCAGAAAGACAGAGAGAGACAGACAGAAAGCGAGAAATCACCCCCCAGGGGGGATGGTCACGCTGCAACCCCTTCTCCTCCATTCTCCTGTCGGGATCTTGGGCACGCACGCACACGCGCCCAGTGTGAGTTTAAGCCACCAGGTCCGGGACTCGAACCGCGGTCGACTACATGGGAGTCCAGCAACATAGCCATTATGCTAACTGCTGGTTCCACGTACATTGGTTATTGAGAAATTTTCCAGAACATCCTATTTTGTTAATGTGCACATCTTTATCATCACTATTTATGTTTAACTCACAGCTGTTAGGATATTTTTTCATAAATGACATGAAGTCACATTTGGTTTACATTTCAATGTTTATTAAGCAAACGATCTTTAGGTTAATTTACAGGTTCATGTTGAGGTTCTCTGTTTAGTGGAAATCACAATCATCTATAAACACAGTTAAGAGAATTTACCAAAATGTAACTATGTACTCTTATCAGTTAATATTAGGAATGACAAAACATGGTAGTTCTTAAACTGAGGATGTGGCCTGTTCCATGAAGAGATATGAGCGACAGATTTTTTTTCTTTTTTTTGGAAAGGTTTATTTTTTTGCTATAGGGCAGGTGCGCTCGCCAGACAGACAGAAAGTGAGAAATCACACCCCAGGGGGGATGGCCACGCCGCAACCCCTTCTCCTCCATTCTCCTCTTGGGATCTTGGGCATGCACACACACGTGCCCAGCATGAGTTTAAGCCACCGGGCCCGGGACTCGAACCACGGTTGACTACATGGGAGTCCAGTGACATAGCCATTATGCTAACTGCTGGTCCCATGAGTGACATTTCAAACAGATTTAAAAGGGTTCAAAGAGAACTATCTGCTCTGTAGGAGAGCAGTGGTAGGATAAGCAGCTGGGGCCTGGGCATGCTGTGTGGCTTCTGGACCTTTCTTCCGGGTTAACTTTACTTCTCTGGTTCTCCACCTTAAGGATGTCTGGGAGATTTTGAAAGTACTGCTGCCCCAGGCCAGTTGACTCTCAGGGGTAGCTTAGTTTATGTCACAGAAGTATGCACAGAGTAGCAAAGCAAAATCGGAGGATTCATCTCTGAGTTATACAAGTAAGGTTAAGAGTGTTGCAGGTGGTAGTCTTTGGGTAGAAGCCATATAATGATTCAGCCAACTGAACTCGTGATCATTAACCAAATGTCTAATTAAATGATTAAGTAGAGAATTATTTAATACAGGATTAGCTGCAGTTTTCTGTTCATGTTTTAAAAATTTTATACTGCACTTGAAAAAAATACAGTGATTGGGACCAGCAGATGGCATAATGGTCACGTCACTGGACTCCCACATAGTCGACTGCGGGTCAAGTCTTGGATCCGGCAGCTTAAAAAACTCACTGCACGTGCATACCCAAAATCCTGAGAGGAGGAACCAGCAGTTGGCGTAATGGCTATGTCTCTGGACTCCTGTGTAGTCGACTGCAGTTCGAGTCCTGGACCCGGTGGCTTAAACTCAAGCCGGGCATGTGTGCATGTGTGCCCAAGGTCCCGAGAGGAGAATGGAGAAAAAGGGATTGCGGCGTGGTCATCCCCCCCTGGGGTGTGATTTCTTGTTTTCTGTCTCTCTGTCTCTGGCGCACATGCCCTATAGCAAAAACCTCTCAAAAAAAAAAAGCGATAAAAAACCACACCAAAAAAAAAAAAAAAAAAAAAAGGCCTGAGAGGAGAACAGGAGTGAAGGGACTGTGTCATGCCCATCCCTCGGGGGGGAAGTGTTGTTGGTGGTAGTTTCTTGCTTTCTGTCTCTATAGTGAGCTCACATGCCTTATAGCAACAATGTGAAAAAAAAAAAAAGTGATGAAAGAATCTAGTTAATTTTTCAAAAATGAGGATGAACTCAGGCTTCTGAATCTACCTGTGACTAGCAAATCCTTTGTACAGAAGAGTAGCCCAGGGATTAGGAAGTGAGTGAGTCTGACTGGGAACGATCACGTCTACTCTTTATACCTTGGGTGCTCATAAAGGCAGACAGTCCTGGCTAGCACTCCTTTGTGCCAACTTTAAGCAACTAATTGACCCAGAATTAGCAGGTGGGAATAAAAACTAGTAAGCTAGCCACCCCTATGTTTCCATTTCAGAAAGTGTAAAGCTTTTGGCATGAAAAATACATATGCCACAGGACCAGCAGTTAGTGTAATGGCTATGTCGCTGGACTCCCATGTAATCGACCGCGGTTCGCATCCCGGACCCGGTGGCTTAAAACTCACGCCGGGCACGTGTGCATGCATGGCCAAGATCCCAAGAGAAGAAAGGAGGAGAAGGGATTGCGGCGTGGCCATCCCCCTGGGGGGGGGGGTGGGTGATTTCTCACTTTCTGTTTCTCTATTTCTGTCTGGAGAGCACACGTGCCCTATAGCAAAAGCCTCTCCAAAAAATATATATATATATGCCATGACTTGTACAGCCGTTGCCAAGTGTGCACAGTTATTTCAGATTCGTTTGCTTATAGCAGTTCCTACAAAGGGCCAGAAGTTCTGCTTAATACTGGTCTGTGCTTTTGACAGGTTGGCAAGCTTTGTCTAGGGATCGGTCATCCTGAGAAATTGTTCTTCTCAGATATAGTCTCAGTACCCCCAAGTTCACAATCTTTGTTGAACCGTGGGGAAATTCATGGTTTTCAGACAGAACAAGTAAGGTGGTCCTTCTCTCTATAATTTTTTTTGCCAGCTCAGCTTTAACAACATCCACCTGCCTCTGGATATTCACAAAATATTGTTAGATGAGGTTGTAAGAGACAGATCCAGAATAACTTCCCGGAGTCATTAAGACCTTAATGAAAGAAGAGAGGTTTTCTGACATTGCTTTCCGTGAAGAATACATTTAAATGTCTTTAATTTCAATTGATAACTTGAAAGAATTTTTTATTTTTTTGCCCTAGGACTTTTCACCAATGACTTTGTAATCTGAATAGAGCAGATGACAGAAACTTTTGAATCATAGAAGTTGGTACATTGCATATCATCTGTTCTTACTGATTCTAGGGCTAAAATAATGAATTCTTTGTAATGAAGAGATACAGTACAGAGTAATTATATATGTGAGAGATACATACATATGTACAGTCTGGTTTTTACATGCAAATCAAAGAGTTTCAAAGCTAGAAGGAACACAAAATTCTTTCCTTTTTTAGTTCTACAGAGGCTAATTTAATTACTATGAACAGAAAAATAGTTTCCATAGGAAATTTGCTCACGTTGTTGATGTCGGTGTCCCCTGGCGTTTAGACAATGGACAGAATTTTATGAAAAGTACTGATTGTAGTTTTAAAACTAAATGCGAGAACAGAGACATTTATGTGTGGTATGTGGTGCTCTGTTGAGGTTTGGTGAAGGAGCGGACAGCAATGATGCAATGCTCTGTGATGCTGGACTCACGTGAGAAGTTCCTGGGTTCATGCCTGGAGGTCTCCCCCTACCTGCTCCGTGTGCACACATGTATACATCTGCTTCTGTGCTGGGCTGGCTGAGGCTGGGGGTGAATCACAACATAAAGACCCTGTTGGCTATTTCTGTCTGGAGAGCACACGTGCCCTATAGCAAAAGCCTCTCCAAAAAATATATATATATATGCCATGACTTGTACAGCCGTTGCCAAGTGTGCACAGTTATTTCAGATTCGTTTGCTTATAGCAGTTCCTACAAAGGGCCAGAAGTTCTGCTTAATACTGGTCTGTGCTTTTGACAGGTTGGCAAGCTTTGTCTAGGGATCGGTCATCCTGAGAAATTGTTCTTCTCAGATATAGTCTCAGTACCCCCAAGTTCACAATCTTTGTTGAACCGTGGGGAAATTCATGGTTTTCAGACAGAACAAGTAAGGTGGTCCTTCTCTCTATAATTTTTTTTGCCAGCTCAGCTTTAACAACATCCACCTGCCTCTGGATATTCACAAAATATTGTTAGATGAGGTTGTAAGAGACAGATCCAGAATAACTTCCCGGAGTCATTAAGACCTTAATGAAAGAAGAGAGGTTTTCTGACATTGCTTTCCGTGAAGAATACATTTAAATGTCTTTAATTTCAATTGATAACTTGAAAGAATTTTTTATTTTTTTGCCCTAGGACTTTTCACCAATGACTTTGTAATCTGAATAGAGCAGATGACAGAAACTTTTGAATCATAGAAGTTGGTACATTGCATATCATCTGTTCTTACTGATTCTAGGGCTAAAATAATGAATTCTTTGTAATGAAGAGATACAGTACAGAGTAATTATATATGTGAGAGATACATACATATGTACAGTCTGGTTTTTACATGCAAATCAAAGAGTTTCAAAGCTAGAAGGAACACAAAATTCTTTCCTTTTTTAGTTCTACAGAGGCTAATTTAATTACTATGAACAGAAAAATAGTTTCCATAGGAAATTTGCTCACGTTGTTGATGTCGGTGTCCCCTGGCGTTTAGACAATGGACAGAATTTTATGAAAAGTACTGATTGTAGTTTTAAAACTAAATGCGAGAACAGAGACATTTATGTGTGGTATGTGGTGCTCTGTTGAGGTTTGGTGAAGGAGCGGACAGCAATGATGCAATGCTCTGTGATGCTGGACTCACGTGAGAAGTTCCTGGGTTCATGCCTGGAGGTCTCCCCCTACCTGCTCCGTGTGCACACATGTATACATCTGCTTCTGTGCTGGGCTGGCTGAGGCTGGGGGTGAATCACAACATAAAGACCCTGTTGGTTGGAACCAGCAGATGGTCTAATGGCTATGTCGCTGGACTCCCATATGGCTGACTGTGGTTCAAGTCCTGGTCTTGAAACTCATGCCAGCCCTGTGTGTGTGTGCCCCAAATCCTGAGAGGAGAATAGAGAAGAGAATGCAGTGTGGACATACTCTTTGGGTGGTGATTTCTTGCTTTCTGTCTCTCTGTTTCTCCAGTGAGCATACCTGCTCTATAGCAAAAGTCTCTTTTAAAGAAAAATCCTATTGGGGTGCTGTCTTTCTCTCTCTCTTGTCTCTCATGGAAGAGGTAAATAAACTAAATCTGAACATTTTTGGTGACATTTGAACCTAAATATTATAATGAAGTAGAACCTTCAGCCAGGTAGATAGCCCCAGCAAAGTTTTTCTCTAATTCAGTGTGGCCTGAAGGTGGGATTATATTTCTTAACTATGATCATTAGAATAGCTAGTCCTCAGGACCAGGAGTTAGCATAATGGCTATGTCACTGGACTCCCATGTAGTCGACTGCGGTCCGTGTCCCGGACCCAGTGGCTTAAAACTCACGCCGGGCGCATGTGAGTGCGTGCCCAAGATCCCAAGAGGAGAATGGAGGAGAAGGGATTGCGGCATGGCCATCCCCCCTGGGGGGTGATTTCTCGCTTTCTATCTCTCTCTGTCTCTCTCTCTCTCTGTCTTTCTGGCAAGCGCACATACCCTATAGCGAAAACCTCTCCAAAAGAAAAAAAAGAATAGCTATTCCTCAGAGGATTGTGTCAACCCTGGCAGATTTAAAGGATAATATTCGGTAAAGATGTACAATGATTACATGTAAATAAGAAATCATAAGGTTAATCAAAAACAGTAACAGCAACGTCCTATCAGAAGAACTGCTGGATGTTTAAGCCAGCGACCTCTCAATTACTTGCAACGACTGTGGGCCATCTTGAAACGGCCACTGATGATCATTACAGCTTCCTTATCTTCCACAAAGTAAGCGAAACAAAGCAGATCCTTTGCTAGGCATAGCACCCCTCATTTCAGAGAACCAGAAAAATACCATTTCTTCAGACCTCTATCAGGGAGGAACTAGTTCAAGAACAAGTCTCCTTTCTTCAAAGGATTGTCAAATAACAATGGCTCTGCAGCATGTATGAGGTATCAGTGATAACCTAGGAGGAATAGGTGTGGAGCCGGAGTCCCAGGGTTCAGCTGGCAGGTTTCTGTCCTTTATAGGTGGGTGTCAGTGAAGGTGGTATGTTCCTTGGTTACTGAGCTGAACCCCTTGATGGCATCCATCAGGTCCTCTTCATCTACGTACTGAAAAATAAGCCGATCGTCAGTGGTTAGGATATTTGCTGAGTGATATTTACTATCACTTGATAGCAATTTGATTTAATGTAAAAAGTATTTATTAAAGGCTTAATAGCTTCTGCACAAACTGCAAGGTGTGGTTTAAAGCAGTCCTTGCTTTAAGTTCACCTTGTTGAAAGGCTCACGTCAAATGCATACGTGAACTGTAGACTAATCCAAAATGCATGATTTCAGAGTTACATTGTATTATATCTCAACCTTCCTAAGCCTGTTTTCTCATCTGTACACACAATATATATCTATATATTTCATATTTTAAACATTTAGTTCAAAGAGTAAGTGGCAAAGCCAGAACACAAGCTATAAGTTAAAGCTTGCATAAGTATTATTGATTATAATGTCATAATGAACAGATAACTTGTTAAGTATTGGCACCTTAGAAAGCTTTCATTGAATCCTTCTTTTGACCACTGCCCACTACTAGTGTAAACGGCAAGCATTTAAAAACTTTAGATCTGGGGCCAGCAGGTGGCATGGTGGTTAAAGCGCTGGACACTCCCACATGGCCAACCAGGGTTCGAGTCCCAGACCTGGTGGCTTGCTTTCTTGCTTTCCCTCTGTGTGTGTGTGTGTGTCTCTGTCCAGTCAAATAAAAATAAATGAATAAATTAAATCTTAAGAATGTTATGTCTTAAATAAAATCATGGAATTGAATAGTCAGAACATCAAGCAGATCCATGTTTTTTAAATGTGTATTATGCCTATATATAAATGATACATCATTCTGAATAGGCAAGGAGGATGGTGCATTTTCTTTTTTGATGGCTACAGGGAACCTGGAGCCAGGGAGCTCCCTTCGTTATTTGCTATGAGTCAAGGAAGGCTTCTTGGAAGTCTTGGAGTGTGCTGGTTCCTCTTATTCTCTATTTTTTGAGCATTTACAAAGTACTCTTTTGAAAGTTTATAGAAAAATATGAGAAAACTATTCACAGACTTCAAAAATATGTTGCTTGGGAACCAGCAGTTAGCGTAATGGCTATGTCCCTGGACTCCCACATAGTCGACCGCAGTTCGCGTCCCGGACCCGGTGGCTTAAACTCACACCGGGCACGTGAGCGTACGTGCCCAGGATCCCAAGAGGAGAATGGAGGAGAGGGGATTGCGGCGTGACCATCCCCTCTGGGGGGTGATTTCTCGCTTTCTGTCTCTATGTCTCTCTGTCTGTCTGGCGAGTGCAAAAACCTCTCAAAAAAAAAAAAAAAATATATATATATGTTTGTCCATCAGAGTTCATGTGCTCACCAGAGAGGTATAGCTCAATGGGACCAGGAGTTAGCGTAATGGCTATGTCGCTGGACTCCCATGTAGTCGACCGTGTTTCATGTCCCGAACCCGGTGGCTTAAAATTCACGCCGGCCACATATGCGTGTGTGCCCAAGATCCTGAGAGGAGAAAGGAATAGAAGGGATTGCAGTGTGGCCATCCCCCCTGGGGGGTGATTTCTCGCTTTCTGTCTCTCTGTCTCTGTCTGGCGAATGCACTCGCCCTATAGCAAAAACCTCTTCAAAAAAAAAAAATGTTGCTCAAAATAAGCTTGTATTTTAATTCCATTTTCCCAGAAGCTTTTTGAAGTCTTCTCTTAGTTTGTCAAAGTTTTTACCCTGCTTCCCGAACAACTGCAGTAACACTAGGAAACTAGTTGGTACAACATAATCGAGTGAAGTGCTCAAGAGGATGCACCAAGAGCTGTGGGGCAGCACTCAGTGGAGTCTGGGAGGTGTCAGGCGTCTCTTTACCTACACTCTTCGGGGATGTTTAGCAAGGGCTCTGCAATGAGGGAACCAACTCACCAGCCCACTGTTGTGGCCCATAATGGTTTCCCACAGCGAGTCGTCAATCAGGACTTTCTTGTCTTGAATGTCCATGAGCTGGCTGACACTACGGTGGAGACAGCCCTGGGGATAGGTTTGGCTAATCTGGCTCTGACTTGGGATCCGCAGAACAGACATACTCCGGTTGCTCCGAATACTCACAGGTGTCCCAGACTGGGGGATTTTGGTATCAGCCAGTCCCTGAAAAGAAAGTTGCTGTTGGTGATGCACATGTAAAGGACATAGGGTTGAAACACCACAGAGAATGGTGTCTCACACATAGCCAGTGAAGGGACTGACTGGACAACTACAGCACTTAGCAGCTGTGAGCACCTGGGCCCTGTGGCCTTGGCTTCTCAGTAAAGAAGAGATGGTAAATAGCATTAATGCTGCGTAGCACCTACAGTGTTCTTGCACTTGTCCTCCAGCTGTTGCCTGTGGGACCAGGGCTTATTGTTTTGGGGAGCAGCAGGGAGTGGGACGGCACTGGAGAGTGAGTTAAGATAATCTCTTCATGCAGTCAGCACAGTCGCTCTCTGCCCCTTCCCCAGCGCGGTCCAAGTTAACAACGTTCTCTAATGGTTACTCACTCTGTGAGCACAGTTTATATTTCACTTTAAACGTCCTGGATTTGTGTAGGACTATTGATGCCTCTCCGTCTTTCTCTTTGTAAGTTCCCCTTGTTAGAAGATTTGAGATTCCAAATTAAATCAGGTTTGATAGTAACATCAGAAAGACAAAGTGACACCCTGATCAAGACCTAAAATGTGCTGTAAGATAAAATCTGTTATAGCTGCTCCAGACATCTGAGGGTTCTTACTGAGCTGGCCCAGTCAATGAAATGTGCCTACTTTTCACTGTACAGTCAACACACCATGCAAAAGGTCATGCATTCATGCAGCACACAGAAGTACCTCAAAGTGCGTGGTGTAACTTTTTAGGGTGACATTGCTTGACACATCAGATATATCAGCCACAGAGTCAAACTGAGAACAAACAGGGACATCAATCCATGTTTTAAATAGTGTTAAATGAGTTATCTGTGTTTCTCCAGCTACAGCATAATATTCCCATACTTTACCCTGAGATAAACACACACACACACACACACACATACATGCATGCACTACAGTTTTGCAGTTAAAACCATATGCCTAGTATCTAAGGTGAGTACCCTTGGCATTATTTGTTTCGTACTGCAGAGAATGAAAACCAGTATTTATAAGTAAAGTTTGCACTTGAACTTAAGTCTGCTGTATCTTGGGACCTTAAAAGTGTTAGTGAAATGCAAAAGGTTCTTGCTTCCCCACACTAATGCCTATTTCAGCCTCCCTGTTCAGAGTGGAGCCTAAAATCCTTTTGCCATTTGTGTCTAATTCCTTACCTATTCAGAGGACACAGGTGCTTGCGAGAGGGTGACAGTAGCACTGAAAATAGCTCGTCAGATGGGGGACGGCTGTGTGTTGTAGAGCTATGTCACATTGACTTAGCCATGTGACAAGAAAGCCAATCTGGGAACTGAGCGGATGATCCCAGCTCATTTATGTGTAGATGTTCCCTACATCCCTTGATTTTGAGTAGATGAGAAGCCATGTCATCAACAGCCACTCTTAATTTTGCTCTACTTAATGAAGACTGTCCTTACATGAGTTGGCTAAATTCTGCTCATTTTCTCCCATCATTTCCAACTTCACACTTTGGTTTAAAAATACCTTTATGAAGCAACAGAAGGAGACTAGCAAGTATTTTTTGTCAACTGGGTAGGGTTATATTATGATTCAGCAGGTTCTGGGGAATACTTCCCAGAACCACAGTTCACTTCTGCTCTCTCTCCCCAGGCTGGTACTGAACAGCCACACTAACAAAAATATGCCAGTCATCTGGTCTACCAACCCTTGGCTGCTAGCCAGACCCACCTCCTCATGCCTCACTGAGTCTTAGACACTTAGCAAAAGTCAGTTGGGTGCCACTCTGATCTTCCCTGATGATAACGGGTGTACAGGAACAAGTATTTCAGTTCCTTTGTCTGCTTGTCCCAGCCAAAGCCCGTATCTGTCCCCAGGAGAGCTTAGTCTGTGTTATGTCAGAACTGTGAAGTCTAATCAGTGCTCACCTTCACCTATTTTTATTGGTTATCAAACTGTATGCTACTTTTGTTTTTAACCCATTTATGACTTCTCAAATTTTACTGTGTAACAAGCTTCCTAAGGTGCTGGTTGAATTTCTCAAAACTTTAGCTCTTGCTCATATATAATACTGATGCACATAGTCCGTGGTCCTCATTTCTCACAAGACTCATTAAAAACTCTGAGCATCGGGGACCAGCAGGTGGCGTGGTGGTTAAGGTGCTGGACACTCCCACATGGTCGACCGCGGTTCGAGTACCGGGCCTGGTGGCTTGTTTTCTCACTTTCCCTCTCTCTCTCTGTGTATCTCTCTCTGGTCAAATGAAAATAAATGAATGAATAAATAAAATTAAATAAATAATTATTAAAAAAAACCCTCTGAGCATTTGGTCATAGCAGAATAATAGAACACCTTTGAAGAACGAAGAGATTGTTTCTTGGTCACTAAGTTAACAAAGTGAGGAAGCAGTACTGCTCCTCGTGGAAGATTATGATATAGAGGTGCTTGCCTCTTGAGAAAGGATCAAGAGACATGAATTTATCCCTGAGATGGGCTCTGGACACAGATGGTCTGTAGCTAAGTTTTCCTGTAACCACAGTCTATGGTACTGAGTTAAGATTTAGACCCCACTTGTAGGTAGATAGGGGTGGGGCTCCCCATAATGGAGTTACTGTGGTTTTGCTTTCTGTGGTTTGATAAATATTCAATATGCCTCCATTGCAAAGTCAGAAGAATTTATGACTCCCTTTTGCTGGGCTAAAATCAGACCCAAAACAGCCATACTCTGGAGCACAAAGGTAAGGAAATCTCCATTGTGGACTAAAACACAGAGCCACCTGCACCGCCTTCCCTGCCCCCCCCACCCCGGACCCTGGCTGATAACCCATTTCAAGTTTGCTCAGGATCCTATTTAGGCTGTTTCGGCCTATCTACAGCAATTCGTTCAGGTTCCCTCCCAGTGTGTTGGAAGCTTTCCCTCCTTCAATAAAACTACCTGCTAACTTATCTTTCCACATTTCTGATTCCTCTTGAATGCCATATAAGCACAAGCAGTGTTGGGCCTGATCCCAACATCCCTGCAGCAGTATAGAGTAGATGTACCCAGCAGTGCTTGGGAATGCCTCTTCCACACTATGCACTCAGTAGGCCCTGGGGTCAATTTAGCTAACCCCCAAGGCTGAGCAGATCTCCCCTGCCTTCCACAGCTCCCCTCCAGCAGCACTGCATCCCTTCTCTAAGAGCCTGACATCCTCAAAATTCTTCAAAAAGGGGAACCTGAAACATCTGCTCGTCGATGAATTCCTCATGACTACACGCCCAATAGGAGCAAGTGACCCATGGCTTGAACTGGCTGCTCAACATTCATTCATTCAACAAATGCTTGAGTGCCTCTTCTATGCCAGGCACTGTTCTGGGTGTTAGGGTTCAACAGGAAATGGCCTGTAAGGTCTTGGGGAGCTTACATTCTATTTGAAGAATCAAACATAAGTGATACAGTGTCATGCAGGTGTGATAAGTGCTATGGAAAAGGAGAAGACATGGGCTAAGGGGCTAGGGAATTTTACGCTACCTAGAATGGCAGGTGACACTGGTATAGAGACCTGAGTGACATGGGAGTGTGAGCCATCCAAGGCAGCAGCACCAGTGGCCCTGTGGGGGAGCTGGTTGGATGGGCTGGGGGTAGACAAAGGCCCTGAGGATGGTGAGGAGAGGGGGCAGCCATGACTAGAGAGGGCTCTGGGCCAGATGAAGTAGGCAGTGCCTTTACTGATCCCCCACCAAGTCACGGTCCCATTGCTGCTTCCTGCACTAACCACGAGCATGGAAGTTGAAGGGACTACTGCCCTTTTCCCCACCTTCTGCCACTTGGGTATGATATAGCCTTGTCAGGGCCTTCCCTATTGTCTGTTCATGGCGGTGCCCTGGAAAAGCAGAGACCTTGGGGGCGGCAGCTGATATCCAGTCCTTGTTGCAGGACTGGATTCCCACATGGCTGATTTCAGATTGAGTCCCAGATTTGGTGGCTTGCTTTCTTACATTCCTTCTCTCTCTCTCCTTTCTCTGTCTCTGTCTATTCAAAGTAATGATAAAGTTAGATAAAATAATTCTTAAAAAAAAAAAGTGAAGACCTCTGGAAGACAGTCAAAGCTGCTGTTCACTTTCATCTTGTTATTTTATTTTATTTTTTAAAGAGGGCTTTGCCTTAGGGCATGTGCACTCACCAGAGAGAGACAGTGAAGGAAAGAGAAATCATGCCTCAACAGGGATGGCCACTCCACAATTCTTTCTTCGCCATTCTCCTCCAGGATCTTAGGCACACATGCACATGCACCTGGCATGATTTTCAAGCCACCTGGTCCGAGACTTGAGTCATGGTCCAGTGACATAACCACTTTGTCCTCTGCTGGTCCCTCATATCTTTTTTTAAAAGTGTTGAAGCAGCAGTTTGACCAGTCTTCATTTCAGAGCTGCACTCATACTGGATTTTTTTTTCTTCCATATCGGATCTTTGTGCAAAGTGGAAGTAAGGGTGCCCCCTCAGGCAGATGCAGCCCCCAAGCACATAGCTGGAGGAGCAGGCTGTGATGTGAGGACTAGAAAATGCAGCCTTGGGCTGGCAAGTGATGGGGTGGTTAAATGCTAGATTCCCGCATGACTGGCTGTGGTTTGAGTCCTGGGCCCTGGGGCTCAAAAACCACAGATAAGAAGGAAGATAAATATTTTTTTAAAAAAGAAGAAAAGCAGTCTTTCCTCCTCCAGGTATACACAGCCCCACACCAGAAAGCACCGTGCAATTCAGTCACCTTTTACTTCTCCAATGAGTACTTTGGTGTCACTGACCTGCACCCCAATGGGAGAGCCCTTGCCCCCTACTGCAAGACCTTTGCCTGACTCCCTATCTTGGATATATGGATCTTAGAGCTATGGGAGCCACTCAGCAGCACAGGGTGTCAGGGCCAGGGACAGACTGAGCAGTGTAGCATGTCAAATTATTTCCAATCCCCACAAGTTACACAGCAGGGGAACCTATACTTCCACAGGTGATTTCGGTATAACTCTTGTCCACCATTCCCTGACGTAATTCTATGGAGCAGAAATAGTCATCTCCAGGGACCAGCCGTTATAGTAATGGCTATGTTGCTGAACTCCCATGTAGTCTACCGTGGTTCAAGTCCTGGACCCAGTGGCTTAAACTCAAGCCAGGCCCATGTGCATGCATACCCAAGATCTCGAGAGGAGAATGGAGTAGAAGGGATTGCGGCATGGCCATTCCCCCTGGGGGGTGATTTCTCACTTTCTGTCTTTCTGTCTCTCTGGTGAGCACACGTGCCCTGTAGCAAAAACCTCTCCAAAAACAAAAAACAAAAAAGAAATAGTCATCTCTGAGTGTATATTAAAATCCCTTTGGGAGTGAAAAAAAAAATGCTCAGATGTTGCCCAAGACCAACAAAACAAAAAATTTCTGGGATCAAGCCCAGGCAAGGGTAGTTTTCAAAGCTTCTCAGGTTTGAATGTGCCGCCGAAGTGGAGAAAGCAGTTCTGGCGTTAGCCTCCCCCGATTCCCACGTTTAGTCAGACAAGCTGTCACGCCTTGTCAGCGCAGTCTGGAAACATTTCCCTCTGAAGAAAATCGAGCCTCTACTCCAGTGATAGGGAGAGTAGCCAGGCCTTTGCAGACATACCATGTGGGTCTCTCCTGGTGGGTAGACGCTCAAAGAAGACATTCTCTTCTGAAGAGGTACCAAGGGAGGTCTCTCTCTGATATACGGCTCTTTGTGGATTTTTCTTTGTAGTACCAGGGACAGAAAAATGGCCAACAAGACTAGGCCGAGCATCGCCATTAACACTATGAACCACAGCTCACTGTAGAACTCAGCGCTTTTGCTCCCCGGCCCCTTTTTTTGTCCAGGAGTTGTTAGCACTAGGCCTGTGAAACCCAGGGAAAGAAAAGAAAATGTTATTTCAGAAGGTAATTTTGTGATCTCCAGCCCTGTTTCTTGAAAGTAAATCAGAAGAGGTGACAAAAAGTTTGTTAATGCTTTTGCGCTTGTGTGCAGGGTGGGGTGGCAGTTCAGGGTGTCAGAGGGGTTAGAAAGGGAGGCCGATGGCCCCCCAGAGACCTCACTGACTCTGCTCATGGGTGCCACTCAGGTGGGAGATTACCACTGCTGTGGCAAATCCCTGGGGACATCCCTAGTAGGGGGCACACTTGTTAGAAGGGATTAAAGAGCAACCTTGGGCTCACCCATGTCATAGCTGTGTGTCCCGGGAGGGAAGTCCTTGAGTAACAGGCTGCAATCAGGGACTAGCGCCCCTGCTGGTCCTGGGGCAGAGTCACAGGTACAGTCCATGCTGGGGAGCCCCAAGGTCCCCTCATTTCATGCAAGAGCCCCACTTCAGAAGTTTTATGGGAACTGGATTTTGAGACACCAGACCCTATTTTCCACTGTGATGACAGCCTGTGTTTACAGACATGTCATCTTCATGTTTCTTGTAAAACAGCAAAAGCTCTGCAAACTGTCAGTCAAATGCACTGGGAGCGCTTCCTATGGAAAGAAATCCTTTAGCAATGAGACCACCTACCCTTGATTTCTCATCATGTGTTGAAAGTTGACGCGGTCTCTGCACATGAGGTTAAAAAAAAGAGCTTATAGGACCAACAGATGGCATGATGGTTACGTCTCTGGTCTCCCACATAGTTGACCGCAGTTCGAGCCCTGGACCTGGTGGCTTAAACTCACTCCTGGTGCACAAGCATGCATGCCTAAGATCCCAAGAGGAGAATGGAGGAGAAGGGATTGAAGCGTGGCCATCCTGCTGGGGGATCATTTCTCAGTTTCTGTCTCTCTCTCCCTCTCTATCTTTCCTGTATATTATAGCAAAAACCTCTCTTCAAAAACAAAACAAAAAGCCTACATTTAATGAGAATTTACCCTGGACCAGGCCCTATGCTAAGGGCTTTCCAGGAAGGAAGGATATACAGGAGCAGGAAGATGGAGTCTATGGATGTGGGGAATATGAATGAGCCAGGGCAGATGGGAGAAGGGTGACAGGGATCATTTAGAAGCCTAAAATGAAGCCTAAAACAGAGGTGTCCTGGCTGCCTGGTGGACTGGGCAGGAGTGGGCCTCAGATAAGCTTCTGCCCTACACTTGCTGGGACCAGCTCGGAAGCCCTTAGAGGCAATGCAGCCACCACTAGGTTGGCGAGAAGCTGTGAGCCAGGGAATCGCTCATTTAAGGCAGATGCCAACAGATGCCACCGCCTGCTTGCTCATCAGGACAGAGTTCTTTCGAGCAATTCAGAGACTTCATGGCCTTGCCTGGTACTTCACACGCACATTCTCGGGGGAAGGATTAAAGGGGCAGAGTTTTGAATTGGGGCAAACATACATAAAGGAGGGAAAGGAGGAGGCTAAAGCTCAAATTGGAACTCTCTGAGAGGAGGGGTACTGTTTAATAGCCTGGCTCTGCTGCCAGCCAACTCTGTGGTTAGAAAGTCATTTTAACGCCAGCCTCTTTCTCCATCTAGAAATGAAGGGTCAGAGCCAAAGATCTGATCAAGTCCCGGAGTAGGTTGTCGGTGTTCTTAGCATTATGAAAGGTGATGGAGATGTTGGACCAGCAGTTAGCGTAATGGCTATGTCGCTGGACTCCCATGTAGTCAACCCGGTTCAAGTCCTGGACCAGGTGACTTAAACTCATGCAGGGTGCCTGTGCATGTGTGCCCAAGATCCTGAGAGGAGAATAGAGAAGGGATTGCAACGTGGCCATCCCCCATGGGGGGTGATTTCTTGCTTTCTATCTCTTTGTCTCCCACTGTCTTTCTGGCGAGCGCAGGTACCCTATAGTGAAAACCTCTCCAAAAATAAATAAATAAATAAATAAATAAAGAGGTGATGGAGATGTTAATTTGCTTACCTGTAGTAAGCATTTCACTATGTACTATATGTATCAAACATCAAGCTGTACCTCCTATATATAACAAAATTCATGAATTCACAAAAAAAAAAAAAAAAAAAAAAAGACCTTGGTTCCACACTGGAAGAGTTGAGTTTCATCTGTAGGGCACAGGGCAGCAACTCCAGAAACTGATCTGACGGGCCCAGTGGGCCCCTGACTCGGGAGCACGCAGGAGGATGGAGAGCAGCTTGCCCGAGGTAAGCCTCGAAAGGGAAAAGGCCCTCAGAACAGGCAGAGGGAAATGAGGGTTTTTTTATTTTTTAAATTTTTTTTTGCCACTTTCCTGCTTGGAGGCTGCCTTCAGGCAAAGGAACAAGGATGTTTGAAAAGTTAACATCATAAAAATTAAAACTGACTGTGGATATTAGCTGGGCAGCACATCTTGGAATCTGCCAGCACACTGCACCATCCTCAGGGCTCCCTCCCTGGGCTCTGCCCACAGCCCGGCCTCCGGTCACCCACGC